GAGGACGATTAGGGTCCTCAACCAAAGCCTTTGGCTCAAAAGCCTAACCGCAAGGCAGCGGGTTTTGGCGGGAAATGCAAATGCATTACCATTTCTACGGAACAAGTCGCCACATGTTCCAACCCCCAACCTGGAGGGCCAGGGACTGTGTTCGTGGTAAGGTCCAGTCTCTTCGTGACGGGGCTGGACAATTGAGAGTAGATTATTCCGTGTTTCGCTTATCTATCTGTATGCCGTTCTAAAAGAAACGTGGTCGGCTGCAAATTATCTTATTAACCAAACATCAAGTCGATTGGACGGATATCACGCGCGAACTACGGACTAAACGAAGGCTCTGATTGGCCAGGATGTCAGCCAATCAGGGTCGAACATTACAGGCCGGCGCTTCTCACCTTCAAGCGAAGATTCTGGCGCGACCTTGTGGAATATTACGCGATGGCACTATAAAGACAGTTGTAATAGCATCCCTTTGTCCCCAAATGGCTATCTGAAGCTACGACCATCTGGCCTATGAGGAGGACGTTAGTCATGCGCGCTGTTCATAAAGACATGTTTGTTAGCAACAGTTCTCCTAGGGCGAGCAAAGCACTCGCTTCCAAACTCATCGATGAAAGCTGATCTTATTGTCTGATTGTATTTAGTGTTTAACAATTTAGTATAAACAGAGTACACGTTGACACCTCACTGAGAGACGGTTTGTGTACTTCGGCGACCCATTAAGCAGTATTCAACGGTGTCCGCGACACTCCAAGTCTTTAATACCAGATTGGTCAGAAGAAGTCTCCTGATCCTCCAGGTTGTGGGTTAGAACATGTGTGGCGACGTGTTCCATATAAATGATAATGTAGTTGCATTTACAACCAAACACCGCTGTCTTGCAGTCAGGTGTTTGAACCAAAGGCTTTGGTTGAGGACCCTAATCGTCCTTCTGTCCAGGTGCGGGCGCCCTGGCAGTATTCCATCCCACATACAACCATAAATTGCACACATACAAATAAACTCTTGCCACATCGGCCGTCACGTGGTGCCATCAACCAGGTCCCCTTAGTCGATGCATACATCAGGGCGGGTAAGCGAAAACAGGTCACTGTTGACGCTTAGCTTCTTTTCTTCCACATACCTTTTCTTCCACCTCCCCCAATCTCATTATTAACTCCTTATTCGTAGGCTCAGCAGTTATAACTGATTACTCCGTTCATTCTGCATCGGTTCCAGAATCGACATCTGCGTGTCATCCGGCGCTGACATCCTCAGGCATCCCGAAATCAACCTTCAAGCCTCAACGCCCAGTCTATCTTGCTGCGCTTAATGTTCACACTCTGAAGCAAGCAGGACAACAAGCCGCTCTTTCCCACTGGACTCACTCGACACTGATAAGTTGTGTATCAGAAACAAGAATCCAAAATGCAAGCACAGAGTTTGAGCTAACTGCCCCATAGCTCTCTACTCACTTCCAACTGCGCATCTCTGGCGATCCAGAGGCCGCTCAGGCAGGATGCACAAAGGCTTCAAGGCAGCGAAGAATCAGTGTTAAACACTGATTCGATCGTCGGTTGACTTTATGTGTCAGTGTGATATGCAATCGAAACAAGAAACTGATGATTTATTCCAACATTTCCTAGTACATTTGATTAGCTCCAACACACCGAAGCAGTCAAGCAATTGCCAGTCTAGTTGAAAAAACGGACGAAACTCGAAACAGCCTCAAAAGATACCCATTTCAAGCCGGATCTCACGTGACTGTCGTGTGTAGTGTTGGTTGGGGGGGGGGGCAGATTATCTTTCGGTGGTCTCACATGAGTTCGGTTTGGCCGATCCCATTAGGTTTATTTTTCTGCGATGCTACTGTACTTATTTCCTTCGAAAATTTCGATGAAGGGAACATTCGAAACTCAGATACAGCACCACCGGCATTCTCGAAGCCCAACAAATCTCCACATATGTTGACGTCTACCAACGCACAAAAAACATATCCCCTGAAATAGGTTTGATTGGAAATTAGTCGCAACCCTATTCGGAAATCTTCAAAGGATTATATCAAATAGATGAATATTATAGATAATCTCCCTTAGAAATATGATTGCTACACTCCAATTTCGCACATCTAATGGACGTGGCAACGAGCACATATTGACGGTAATAGTAGCGGCCCACTTTTTTTGGAAAATAAGCCAGGTCAAATAATTGCACATATGTAGTGGATACTGTTTCAGTATGGAACAGAAAAAAGCGATTACTTACGGATCGAACACTAGCCGAGCAATATATTCCTTCGGCATCCTAGGCAGTTGAAGTGCGAACACATTCAAGAGTTCCAAAAGCCAAATGTAAGTTTGGGGAGGTTGGTTGTGATTAAGACTATTGTTCACAATGTGGAATTCAATATTTCCGGTAGACTCTTCACGTCGAGCAGCTGCATCACGCGTTGCATGGTATGAATGTAGCTGCAACGTAGATGCATAAGAGTGAAATGAAGCCCTTATGGGCAAAAGAAATATCTGAATGTCATAGATGTAGTAGGGTATATAACAAGATAGGACTCACTGTCAGGAAAATGGTGCACGGTTTTAACCTTAGGACTAACGTCCAAACAACTGAGTAGTGCGGTATTTTTCATTTCAAAAGTTCAGTGAAGGGTGAGGAAGACTTTGTAAGCAGTGAGGATATTTTGGCACCGCAAGCTGTGATTCTATCCTCCAAGACTAAATCACCTAGAGCCGAAAATCTAGGGATCACTGTCCAGCTATTTGATCTTTACTAGGACTCATCAGCGCAGCTTGCCAGTATTTTGACGTCAAGAGTCGACGAACAGTAGCAAATTCCCTGGAAGACCCGATTCTTATCACATATATCAAAATGAGTATTCAATCAGTGACCTCCAAAACGTATAGATCCCAATGATAACCTGTAAGTCGACCACCGATGTAATGCCAACTGGTGGAAACGGTATGTTAGCGGAGAGCTCTTTGGAGATTAACAGCGAAAGCAAACAGAAATCAGTAACGAAAAATTGAGAATACGTTTTGGATCTAAGATCTCTTCATCCCTTGCATCTGGAGACAAAAAATGCACCCAAGAGGCAGCCAGGTTTTCAGGCAGTTGTATCGATGTGGTAAAAAAAAGCATTCAGCTCTATCACCCCTTCGGTACCTAACTTCCATCCCACCCGAAGGAAGCACGGCAGCCGGGATATTGCCAGGTTACCTAGACAGGGGAAATCGAAGTGCAGAGGCTGGGTTAGAACCACGGACCTTCCGGTCAGTGAATTCGCCCTCAAACCACTGAGCCATATCAATGTGATAACATGAAGAAGAGCACAATACCTACTTAGAAGACAGTTCACTAATGCAGAAACATCCTTTGGTAGTGGAGGGCGAAAATACTGACTGTGGACGGAATTCGGGGAATAGGACTGACAATCATACTTTCATCACAGAGAAGTGAACACTCGGTGGGAAAAAATCTGACCCTATGAAGCTAAATAAGACAGTATAGCATTATAAACGGTAACTTATTTCTTATTTAGAAACGATAGTGTGAAGACCTGGATGTAGCTACAACCGTCATTGATAAGAGATCGAAACTAGCCTCAAACAAAAACACTATGAAACTAAGGGCATAATTCATATCGAAATTCAGCGATATAGCAGTTCCCTTGATGATGTACCGAAAACCATGCACATCAGCACGCGAACATGATACCCAACACTACATCTTATTAGCACCCAGTAGAACTCACAAAACAGTATAAGACTTATTTGGTAGATACTTAAAACGAAGTTGACTGTTACGGATCGGTTGCACAGCACTTCTTATGTATTCGATTTGAGATGTTGGCAGCTCGGGTGCGCTGCTTGGTTGTGGGTCTGTTCGCTGAGCTTGGCAGTTGAACTGCAAACGCTTCATCACAAATCGGGGTGACATTGTCAGGGCGAGATTGAGTGGATGAATTCCTCCCCTTCTGCCTGTGCTTATATATTTTCCACAAAGCATCTGGTGCCTCTGAAGTACCGAGGCGGTCTTCGCGCAGTTAGACTGGTCACCCGTGAATCTGAGTTGGTCTCACTCCCCTGTATCTGATTGGTTCGTTGGGTGAATTCAACTCGACAGTTCTGTGCCTCTTGTGATTGTATCGTTTCCTTCTTGTCATTGTGGATTGAATTTGTTCACTTGATTGGTTGAGAGATGTTTAAAGAGGCTTATATTTTTAACTGACTAATTGTTGCTCCCAAAGCAACTAACTCACCGTGTGAAATGGCGTAGGTTCAACTCCGGAATTTGGTTGCGCAGTAATTTCCTGCAAAACCTGCTGCAACTCCAGCGGGTTGATATCACCTGGTACAGACATTCGAGGACGTTTGGATAGTATATGTGTGTCATCTGCGGATTCCCCCTGGTTTGCGGATATCCCATGTTCCTCCAGTTTCATTTGGCTGGACAAAGAGGTCCTACATTCTTGTTGGCTCTGGTTACGAAGACGGACACCTATGGCAATCAACGGAGGAAAACGGCGATGTACTACATTAGTGTCCCTTGGAAAAGCGCCTGGATGTTTTTTATTGATTTTGTCATTAACTACTTCCATGTTTATTTTTTGTTTGTTATTGGTTTTTTTTTTAAATTGCCGCATAAAAACAAAAGTCCGAGTAGTGGTGTCCACAAGACTACCGCAATATTATCATCTAGTGGAAAACGATAGCTCACCGGGAGTAGAAATCCCAAAGATTTAAGTTATCTTCGCCAAGGGTGCTTAATACTATGAAGATTTCTAGACCCCTAACCAAAGCATCGACGACCTACCAGTGAAAAGGTAACGAAGTCTCCCCTGAGTTGGTCAAGAGTGTTGTGACTTTCTACGAAACATGAACATCCCAAATGGGTACAGTGCTTCCGGGTAGCCAATTACGGTAGTCCGCAACGTAGAGACCAACTTTTGGGAACTAGATAAATAATTAGTATGATGGGGTGGTTTGTAATTGTCTCCAAGGTACACACCAAAAGAAGCGCTGGTTTGCTCGCATTTTGTCCGGGGGCCACACCCTAATAACCGAACAGCACGGTTAATAGGACGGATGTCTCGTGCGGATCAAACGAAAGCATGCCCTGACTAGTCAGAATCCAGCCAATCTGGATCGAGCATCTCTAGCTCGACGCTCCTCGCCCCCTCACAAAGATTCTAGCACGACCTTGTGGAACATTCTGCGAGTGTCCTATAATTACAGTTGTAATAATCTTCCTTTATCTCCATAAGGGGCTGTCTGAAGCTACCGTGCATTTTTATACACCACAGTGGGCGGAGCAGGAGGAAAAGGACCAACAGAGTTGCACGTTCAGCAATTTACGACACATTTCCTTCTGTAATGAAGTTCGGAGGGAGGAAGAGATTACTGAAGTTCAATTGCATTTCGAATCGTGTGCATTTCTAGAGGAGTGTCACTTGACTGTAATTCAGTACAGGAACCATGGCGACTGGTTTGCTTTCTGAGGTGCGCGTTTCGTTGTTTAAGGTTTTATCACCAGTCAAATTAATAACCACCGATTTGTGTGTGATGTGCTACCTGGATGGTTGACTCAACCAAATTTGACAGCACACTGAACAAATCAAGTTATCATCACAACGAGCGCTGTTAACAGTTCCCGAAAAACAAGGACAAACGACGAGCTGCGATGTCACTGGAAAATGAGATGGATGCCAATGACATAAATTTTGGAATTCCACATTACTTGACTTAGATGATATGGTTTATAAGTATTGAAAAATTTGTGATAACTGGCAAGACTTTGTGTAGTCTACAGCTTCTCCAAAAACAACCTGAGGAATGCGGTTTAGCAAATAGCTATCACAAACTGAGCATGAAATTCTTTGGTTACTACACTCGACGGTGTTTTAGTACAAATAGAGAACTGGCACATTTCGTGATAGCACACCGGAGGAAAGCTGCTGGTTCCATCGGTATGACATTTCTGCCTCGATCAGTTACTTTTACGGTTAGCATTGGTATCCCGGAAGGTAATCAGAATGCCCGCTTTTAACTGATGTTGATATCATATGTGGTTCGTGTAAGTTTACAGTTTTTTTGTGGTCATACTGATCTCAGTTGTGTTTTCCCAGAAAACGTCGTATCAATTACGGTCATTATGATATTTGAGGTTGTGCTAGCCTGTAAATCAACATATCGTGCGACGAACCCAGATAGGCAGCACAGTCGCTACTTTATTTCGTACGGATTTCACCATTTTCGCAGGAACTGATGAATACTGTGACTGAACGCCCACAGCGCGCCGTCGCGGAAGTGAATTTCCGCTTTCCAACTAACAAACCACGCACCAAAATACAGCGGTTACAGCTACTGTAGCTTCGTTCACCGAGATAGGGAAATTAGAGGGTAAGTAAATGAAAGCCACATATTGGAGGCGATGGATTAATCAGTTCACTGACATCGAATTGTCATGATTTTCCAGTGTGGCAGGGGTAAGAGCAACACAATGGAGGCGGTAGCATTGATGCAAGACCACCATTAGCCGCGTGACACAGCCATATCTATCAGGGTCACTAAGCATTGGTATGTTTCGTCCCATGGTCCACATGGGGAGAAATTAGTTATCAACGCGACTCAGCTGACGGGTATTTGGGGCTTACCTCCAGAATTCTACATAAATACATAAAGGAACAAAGCTTTGTGGAAATGCACTTCGTGCGTGTGCTAATAGCTCTATCTTTCTTCCCTCCACCTACATTGCATATACAAGAGGCCTACACATACTGACCAAAACAGAAAAGTTGTAACGATTGCTTACCTAAAGTGGCGTAACTATTTTACGCAGAATTAAAAAGCAAACGCCCATGGACAACGGAGGAAACGCACGGACGACTAACCATCTGATCAAAATATATCTCATATCAAGTTCAGCCTAAAATGAATTGAGGTTGGTTAAAATGGCAGATCGCTATTTCGACTGCTCGCGCGGTCGAAATTGACCATCAGAAGTTCGGTTCTGTTCATCCAACTTGTTTGTATGTGTAATGACTGTCCCTTACTTTTTCTGTGCTATACGGTGAAGCCAATGACCGGGGATACAACGCCATTCTCGTCAAGTCCGGTTTAGCTAAATGTAACTTATTTATTCCATCCACGACTTACATTTCTGTTTTCCACAGAAGAAGTTTCACGGGTATCTAGCCCCGTGGTATACATTTGTTGACCAATTAATTGCGGGAGATTTAAAAAGGTGGATAGGATCTGCAATGACGTTTTCATCGGTTTCGAATTGATGTGACAGCGAGTTACACCCACTGCCAATATGTTATAGCATTGTGGATTATATTATTACTATTATTACGTTGTATTTTAATGCGCAGACAACAGATCACATGGAAAGTGAGATTCTGAACTCAGGGGAGTTCCTGCAGCATCATGAAGTGGAAATTCAAATGAAAAGTCTTCTTCATTTTCAATTCACGAGGCTTTTTTCTAGCCACTTGAAGACTTGTGAATTAACCTGGCAAGCTGGAGACACAGATAGTTTAGGTGGTGGTGGTAGTTTTCGCGCTGTTTCGATTATTTTTTCCTAAGCGAAACCTGGACATCTTGTAAGCAGTGCATCAGGTCATAGTTCAGATATGGTAAACACAATATCCACTTCCTGAGCATCAAATGGGAACGTGTCGGATGTATCCGCTCAAAAAATATTTGTGGAGATGGACCCATCAAGACGCAAATATAGGATGTAGCTATCCGGTCACCCACATACTTGACTGTTCAGCTCACAGCCGCTCACTGGATCACGAGACCTGTCTTTTTTCATACTCGCAAACACGTCACATTAAGGTGACTCATCGGACATCGAGTGTCGATACCGTCTAGTGAGCGTAGCAACAACTCATGTGCTAACACATCCACGTACACGCAAACGGACCTACATATAGGGCAACCGGACACAGTCGACACACACAGACTCGCGTGCGCGCAGGGAGCAGGAAGTCAACCTCTCCACAAGTCAACGGAACACATGTAGCAGACGCACTGCGGAGAAAAACACATTCCCGTCGTCCGGACTTTCACCAAGGTACTCTCATAGACGATAAGTTCTTTTTTTGACTTGCTCCCATTTCACATTGTATTTATTTTTATACGTGTTGCAACCTACCACTGTCAACCAATGTCAACTTTTATTAGTGCATACATCTTCTGATTTGTATTATGCTCATCAACAACAGTGCACTAATAAGGACAGCAAAGAACCTGAAAACAGCATTGAAAGCTCCAGATCTTAAGGTCCAAGAAAACTCTCGTCATTCGGTAAAACACCATAATTGATGCGTCCTGTAGAAAAATAACGTTGTTGAGCATGACATATGTGAGCAGATTCGCAACCTCAACAGTGCGATACCGTGTCGTCCAGGGGTATTTTTTGAAGGATAACTAAGTATTTCTATGTCGAAGTATCAGTCTGCATTCACGTGCAGCCTGTTGCACGACAATGATGCCGCAGCTTGATCGATTCGGATCGTGAACTCACTTGCTCGTCTCTGTAGTACTATATCTTCCGCCTTCGTTGTCGAGGTGAAATGTTGATCACCTGAGAATTGTCCACCATCTTGGGGAAAAGACTCTTTTATCGCTACTTTGCTTTGTTGCAGAGGAATTCGCAGCATGGAATCTTCATTATGCGATGGAGACTGGGCGCCTGGGAGATATGCGTTACTTAAAAACGGGATCGAGTGCGAATGCGTATCCCACCAAGTACAGGAAGGGTTATGTGCCTCGTCTTCAAGGTGCGAAATGAATCTGAATGGAAAATGTGGGGTTTAAGAAAAAAAACATACTTCACTAGGGGAAGGATCACCTGCTGTTTTTTATCCAAACCAAAGGCCGTGGTATTCTCATGCATGATCTTTTCAATTAGTTTCCTTTTCAGTTCCGGGAGAACTGCCACCAGGAAATTCTTCCCAAAAGCCGATGTTGGGGTGTAGTAGGGTAGACTGAAACAGAACTGGGGTACGTAGCAATGGCACATCCATCTGTGCAAAGGAAAACATAAAAAAAGGTAACAAAGGCAGTCAACCTCATGTAAATGAGTCTATAACCAGTCCTGTTTTCATGTTTGTTTGCACGAAGTATAGGGTATCCCATCTTCCATGCGTTGGCAAATGCAAGGAACAGCTTGCACAGTTTAGCTATGGATTCAAGCTCTCGATTGTCGCGCACATAGTGCCGCAAAAGAACACTACGCACGGTCTGGTAGAAACTGAAATAGGACCACATTTCTAACTGGCACCTACCGTTTCTATAGACGGTCGTTCAAAAGGAGGGGGATCATCAAAGATAGGCTTCACTCTATTGACCAGAGCCTTACGCACGCGCTTGATTCACTTAAATAGAAAAGGCCCTTCATCTTACCTTTAATATACAAAAGTATAAATGTCGCGTCTCACAATCACTTTCACTCGCGCACAAAATATACAGATGTTCTACGTCCTCTACCATCTGGACAGCCAAATCCAACCATGCAAGGTCTTCTTCTGCAGTAAAAGTTGAATGCACATGTCCACAATATTTGCAATTGCCAGACTCGGCTTGCACTTTGTCCATGCTTAGCTTCCAAGTCAAACATTTACAACCCTGTTCCTATAAAATATTACCACGTTTAAGGTGAGAGTCTTACCTGGCATTTGAGATAGGGAAGACACCGCTTGATTTTCTGCTCCGTAGATAAATGGCACAAATACTCGCGACGCTTGAACAATTCCAGTCTGGAACACATGTCTTGATAAGGTTGTGACTGCAAGGTGGAATGAACATTAAACTCTATGCTGGTTGAATAGACCAACAGTCATAAATGAGGTGAACATTATAATTGCTGTTCAAATGACTGAAAAATTAAACAGAAAAAGCACACTACCTCCAAACGAACAAATCCAGTTTACTAATGATTTATCTTGTATGCTGAAACCTTGTTTCTACATCTCAGCCTCTCACTGAAATCTTATTGGACTGTTAGGTCATTTTATGTTCCATATCACGGAAGGACACCCTTGTTTGCAGCATAACTTCCACGAAGTTGTTTGACTCCTCCATTTCAGTGAACTAACGCGTCTGACTGATACATTATTAGAAAGAATATAACAAGGGTAATCAATTTTTTGCGAATTCGTGGTCCCCGTTAATGTAGCTTGGAGCTTGTGGCAGCTGGATGTGATTTGGCGACACGGATCCGCTCTTTTTTATTTCGGCTAGGATCGGTCAGTATTTTAGATACCTTGAATGGTAGTTATCCGTTAGCAGCGGTCGATGGCAAGGCTTTCGCAAATTTCCACGCGGTTGGTCGCAGTCCGTAGTCTGTGGACGGCAGACCAAAACGGTGTCAAAACGGGCTTCAAACTAACCTTCCTAACGACAATAACAATATTCATGAAGTGTAGGGGAGGTACATCCTTGAAAACGTCTTTATGCGAGCAGCAAGGAATGTGTGCAAACCACCGGATAACGTTATGGAGTCATTTGTCAAAATCGGCTGCCAGTGGATTTCTGAGTGGGGGGGATTAGGAAGGGAGCTAAGATGGATGCACGAGCGCCACTAAGGGCACGACTGGGTCATATCTGAAAATGCCTCTAACCATTGATATAGTTCATCTCGGGGTCTCCACCTAAGGAGATAATAATGACTAGCGCAGCTGAGTTTGTTGGTAATGGCTTCGCTGCCGAGCCATTGTTTGATCTCGTTTCCGCCCTTCACGGGGTTGTGATAAAAGAACCTTTCGACTGGCATACAGAGCATGTAGCCAAGCCAGCGCGGCCCACGCAGTATGGTCAGTTCATCTATCGTTGGTGGGCGATTTCTCCCGGAAACCATTAGGCGTACTTCAGTATTGTTGAGCCGGTGTTCCCACCAGACTCGAGAAATGCTCCGAGGATATCGATGCTCAAACACCAGAGGTCTTTTGACATCCTCGGCACGCAGTGGCCAAGTTTCTGTTCCGTACAGTAATATGGGGCGCACCGCAGCATTGTAAACTTGGTTTCTGCGTCACGACCACAGGTGATAAAGGTTCACTAAAGCTGCTCTGGCCTTTCAAATCCGAATGGAAATATCGTCCTTCACGAAAACACCGGAACAGATACATCTGCTCAGGTAGACAAACTTGTCTACTGCCCCAATCAGCTTATCCACAAGCATGAGGTTAGGGTCCGAGCCCACTCGGTCTTGCAGTGGCACTTAAAACATTACAGGTGTGAAGCGCATGCCAAACCGTGAGGCAGACTTATTTAAATTACTTCATATTGTTTGCATTACCACGGCATCAGAGTCAAGAAGAGCTGTGTCGTCTGCGTACTCGATATCTGCTAGCGGACGCCCATGAAGTTGCGACAGCTGAAATATTATCCGTTTAGGGAAGATGCTGGAGCTATAAACTGTCGAACTGCGAGACGTTCTAAACTCTACAAAGAAAGACTCCATATTGGTAGTTCAACCTTATTTATCCTTCGTGGGCGTCCATCATCAATAAACATTATCAACATCATCATCATCAATTAACACTCAACAATCATCAACCATCAATCAATAATCAACAATCAACAATAACCACCATTATCACCGCCATGACCTTCCAAGATATATGAAAACGCTCCACAAGTTTGAGAAACCCTCCTTGGTTCGTGAGTGATGTGTTCAATGACCGCATGTCCAAAACCATGACTTCACACTCTGTGGGTGAAAAACACATGTCAGAGTACGAGATGACTTTAGTCAGTTCATCCAAAAAAAACCTGCGCCTTCTCCTCCCATTCGAAGACGAAAACGATTTCGTCTGCACATTCCGGGTCGACAAGGCTTCCGTCAGAAGCTATTTGAACACCAATGCTTTGAAGACCTTCCAGCATTCATCACTGTCTCTCAGCCACCACGAAAGTAAACAGGAGTGAACAGAGTTGACACCTCCTGTCAGGAGGACTACCTCCAAACGAACAAATCCAGTTAACTAACGATTTGTCTTGTATACTATAACCTTGTTTCTACATTTCAGCCTCTCACAGACATACTGTTGTACTGCTAGCTCTCCTTGTATTCTGGTCCAGTTGAATCCCATACCACGGAACGATCCACTCGTTTGCAGTATAATCTTCCCCGAAGTTGTTTGTCTTCTCCACTTCCAGTGACCTAACGTGTCTGACTGATATGACATCAAAGGGGACATAACACTTCCGACGGACAACACTTTGTATACGAAAGCTTTATTCTCCGTATACTCTCACATATGGTCTGAGAGTAAAAGAAACTTATATTTAAGAAGTTCCAAAATATTCCCTGCTGAGTAAGCACGTCAAGTAAAAGAAAAGTAAGGGATGAACAAGCGAGTAAAATGTGCCTTGGAAATACAGGAATACTAAAGTTGTGGGTCGCATGAACGCATGACTTTGTCCTAGCACCTGACGGGGCGTGAAGATTTTGTCAAAACAACCTCCACCAAACAGGAATTCCGCTTGTTTCTCTCGAGTGAATGCTTTATGGGTCACTGTGACGAAGCACAAATGATGTCAACAGTCTCGTTACGACAAAAATCAAGCCGATTCCTCCGTTATCATCACATTCATTACGAACCCCTACTTGAAAAATGGGCATAATCATCTATTCTTCTCAGTCCCCTGAGACCGTTTAAATTCCAAGATGCAGCCAAATAGACCAGACAAACGCTGACTAAGGACTTCACCCTCATCCTGAAGCAATCCGGGTAGGAGGCCACCCCGACCGGGAATTCAGTAGTGCTTGATAGAAAATATGAAGTTACAATCTTCCGAGGCCGTAGGGAATTCAAGGTTGAGGGTTGCACTGCAGTTTCAGAGTGCAACTGAGTGGAAGCAGATAGCCACGATAATAGTTGTTCAAAGTGCTAAGCCCGGTGGTCGACATGTCCTTTTTTACTGAAGATATTCACCATTTTAAACCTTGATGGTTTCGCTCACCAGTAATTTCCGGAGGCTCGTCGCCCGGACCAACCAGAACAATCTTCCGGCACTCCGGGCTTTCTGGGCCTCTTTCATTTCCTTAGCCTTCAGTGTGCACCAAGCTTTATGCTAACTTTCAGTTGACGTCGGATAATTTATATCGCTGAATTATGTTCCGACCCGGTGGAAACAGTTTCCGAGATTGAAAGAGTTCCACTGCTCTTTCAACATGCAGTGCTTGAGTGGACCTGGGGGCGCCGTGTCACAGGAAAAACTTCCTCCAGCGTGTAAAGATGTGGCAATCCCGTTCGTGTGCAAACTGATAACAGACGGCGGAGCAGTTGGAAACAAGTCTAGAAGACCGTTCTGATTAAAAAGGTTTCATTTCGGGATCTGCAAGCCTCAGTTGCCGGACGATCAATCTGCACCTCGTGCCAACCTGGAAAACGAAGAGAAGCAACCCGGGTAAGCGCACAGTCAGAGTCCATATAAATTTTCCAAGATGGATCATCGTTAGTTAACGATGCACGTTATCGGCTATTAATGGTGATGTGGTCAATCATGATCCGTGGCTAGCGCGCCGCTGGAAGAAACTATGTGGCCAGATGACCTCGGTCATTTTGGATGTTTGTGCTTCACAATAACGGTATGCGGTCAGCACATAGCGGAAGCAGCCATTCGCTACTCTCCGCGAGTACCGACTCCAATCCACGTCGACCAAATAATGAAGTTTCAGATGTTCACCTGTGCACTCAAATCCATCATCATCATCATCATCAT